TGGGGAACTACGAGGAATGCATCGGGACCCGGGCGAGGCTCAACGAGACCCTCTACGCGGACGTGGAACGGCTGGACTTCGCGGGAAAGTACTGCGTCGTCACCTTCATGGCCGTGTAAGGGCAAAAAGGGCAATCAGGGTTACAAGGCCCCAAGAAAACCTTAGGGTTGGGCTTACTTTATCATTAAAGATTTTGAATCAAACAATGAAATGCAATCAGTATATATTTCTTTGAGAAACTGAGGCGAACGGAGGAAAATAAGGATAGTACTGAATGTACAGTACTGAATTAAGGCATTTTTGGAAACAGTTCAGTCCGTATCATGTTTTGGCCATTCTTAATAAATATGGAACTACATATGGTTCATATACGGACTCCCACATATATGGTGATAGGTTTGCAATGTTTATGACACTAACATTAACTATACGGAAAAAGACTTAGAATATATTTGAAAACTGTAATGTCCATGGATGCACACGCATGCACATTGAGGCCTTGCATATAGTTTGACATCTAGCAGTTTCTTCAATAAATATAAAGTTCTCACAATATAATCGAGGTCGCGATCATCCCGCCGCTATATGTCTCCCGATTCCCCAAATCCTAATGAATGGAATGAAAACTTCTGCTGAAGCTTTCACCCTCAACTCGCTAATTTCCCACATACAAACAGAAGGAATGAAGTCGTCTTAATCGATGCATATGTTGAGAGACGTAACCTAGCTTAAGGAGACTCCAGGTAATTCTTGCTCAGTGCATGGAGGAAGTGAGGTTCACCTTGTCAGGTGAGTCACAAAAGTACATGTGGAGGTTTCGATGTTAAGTGACTCTACCTCTGAGCCTCTGCCTCAATCTGCCATTAATAGTGCATTCGGGGGCCATCTACTTATATTGCAAATTAAGGACCGTATAAGGGACCTGTATTTTATGGTATAAAGTTACATATATACAATACTAATGAGTTTGTTTGCCTATGGTAGCGCTATGGCGCTCCATTACCTTGGATAGTGATTCATTCGTTTATTCTTTGCGAAATGGCAAACACATATTTAAAGTACGTCGCCATTGAAATACGTGACATATGGGGTCGAAAGTCTTGATTTTTTATCAAAATTATTACTTCTCTGATTTCTAGTGTGCCTAACTTGATATCTTTTCATGTGTCCCATTTTGTAAGGGTGGAGAATACATTTTGAAATACTTCCCTCCTATAATCTACGCTAATGGGACATATTTCAAAAGCAGAATTTTTTCTTTGCTCAGCTATCCATCAGGTTCTTCTTTGCCAAATTTAAACTTTCTGGTGCCCTCTGTTTTCCTGGATCAGAAAATTCGAGAAAATACACCTTTCGCAATATATGTGCCCTGAGGCGTTTTAACCGAAAAGTACCTTTTTTTAAATACCGAAATCAATCCTCAGAGAACTACATGCCCACAAAGTTTCAATCTTATATGTTTGCCATTTTCGCTGGTGAAAAAACACGTTTGGGAAAGCCGACCCACCATAAAGCTACGCCCGGAGAGGATGCACCATGAAAGCTGAATACACCCTCAACTCAATGATATCACAAAAAATCAGTCCTGAAACTGATAATGATGCCTATTTGCCAACCCTGAAGGAGGGCGTAGGATATCTCGTAAGAATGATGCCATTATGTTGTGCATACTTTGCTTGCAGAGATATGAAGAAATTGTAATGGTATCCAGTACTCGCAGATGGTCGACTGGTGGCTATGTAAAAAACATTCAAGGTCCATGAACCTTTATATCAAACAAGTGGTGCAGTTGACAGTTGCCCCCAAAGCTACAACCAAGAAAATTTAAGTGGTATCTTTATAGCAATAGAGCATGAAAAAATGAATGGAACAATTTTTTTAACCTACTAATAGTTGAAGTTCTGGAGCCTAAAGTATCAATCAAGAAGCATGGAATGCAACAAACGAAGTTCCTCTCCAACAGCAGGATTTCGAGCGAAAATTTGCAACGGAAAATTCGTTCTTAAAAAACTCTTTAGAAAATAAGTGAAAGGAAGACTTACGCGTCCAGTCCACCCCTAGAAGCCAACAGCTAGGAAACGCTCAATTTCCATCAGTCCCCCAGAAGGCAAGGAAGTTCGGAGCGACCAATTGGTGAATGGCCTGGCATCACTCGGCATCTATGGAGTGCCGTTCCTCGCGGAGGGGATCTGCCTCCCATCGTCCTGTTCCGATGCAGACGTTCAGGTTTTTACATTATTTTCCATTATTTTACATCACTTTGAACGTTGTGATTACATTATTTTGACCACATTATTTACGATTCGATCCTATAGAATTCTCTGTCGGCCAACTTCGAAGGAACGATTCAGGCGGGGATAGTGGGTTGTCAGGACGATAGCGTCCCTCCTCTTACCACTTCGGGGATCATCCTCGTGTGAGTGGTTGCAGTGATCAAAAGTGGTGGATGCCCGTGGGGATTCACTTCAAATCTGTTCCCTTTTTCACGCAGTGTGGTGCTCTCTCTGTTCGGCGTTTACTTCCTAATCGGCACGATCTTGGATCTTAGGTTTCGGAATAACAAGAAGAAACCTGGTTCCATATTATTTCCTTCCGTTCGTATGAACATGAAGACTCTTTAAATACTTTTCTAATTAATACTTAAATTTTTTTATCAGAGACATTCATGGACAGCCTGCTCGTGGCGGGATCTTTTTACACCAACGGGGAGAAGCTTCTCTCGACCAAACAAGGCTCTGATGTCATCGGCAGCCTTCACGGCATAAGGTATTTTTTTACTCTCACCTCCAAACAATTCCGAGAGGGAAAAAATCGAAAATGTTCACAGGTTCGTCACCATGACGTGGGTCGTCCTGGGGCACACCTACTCCATAATGACTGCGGGTGTTCCTATGATCAATCCGATGGTGCTCGATGAAGTAATTCATGTCCTTCTGTTCATTGTAAGGGAAATATGAGAACGTGTTGTGCATTTCGTCTCTTTTTCTGTCTAGATGACGAAGGTTTTTTTTTTCAACGCTATACTTAATGCTACGCCGTCAGTGGACACTTTCTTCTTCATGAGTGGACTCCTCGTTTCCTATCTCCTCCTCAAGGAACTTCAAAGGAACAAAGGGAAATTCAACATCATCAAGTTCTATATTCATCGATACATCAGGTAGACCACGTTTACCTGTATATGGACTGTCTGTCTATGAATTGAGGGAGGGTGGATGTAGAGGGTGGAGTAAAGGATACGGATGGGAGTTAGTGGAGGGATCAACTGGGTGGAAAAGGGGTGGGGATCGGGATTCCAATGCAGGGAATGTAAAATACAAAAAATTAAATGCTGAATCTCTAAGGATTGAGACACTAAAGGAACTTGCGACTCTTCCATTTCAGGTCACATTTCAAATTCTATTGTTACAAGACATTTTTAAAATGTTAATCTTTGAGTATTTTCTCCCCTGGTGTGTGGAATGATACTGGAGAGATTGGGTTTACAGGCTCACGCCGATCTACGCGATGTTCATTTGGTTCTCCGTCGATCTCTTCCCATACACGTTCTCTGGCCCTTTACAAAAAATCGTCTCGGACGTCTTGACCGACCCCTGCCGGGACCAATGGTGGAGGAACCTCCTCTATATCAACAACATGGTCGAGGAGAAGGAAGGCATGGTCAGCGCGCTCTTTTCCTTTTTGTAGCCTTGTAAATGAGCGGGCGGTCGCCTAGGTGGCAGTATTATGTAATGCCTAGCTTGTGTGAGGGACACACGGTGGGAAAGCTAGGGAACGCGGCTGTCAACGGGGGCATTCTGCCGGTTCCAAATTGACTGAAACATTTCGACCTCAAAATTTGGTAATATCATCATGAACTTCATTCTGAAAAACTGGAAACACAAATTCCTATGATGTAAGAATAGACTTCAAAATACACCCCATCTTGAACCTTATCTCACTGCTAGGTTTTAACGAGCAGAAAACCCCCTCTTGGTTTTCATTTCTTCTAAAATACACTTAAATAAACATCAAGTGCAGTGCAATTTTGAAAGACATGCTCTGCCCCACTCGTCTAAGCTAAAAGAAATATCTCTTACAGTGCATGGGACACACGTGGTACATGGCCAACGACTTCCAGATGTACCTCGTATCCCCCTTGATCATCCTCCCTCTCTTCTTCTTCCCGGCAGTCGGTTTGTGGACTTCACTTTTTTTTAAGGTCCTCGGAGAAACACAAAAGCGAAATGTAGAACATAAGCAGAATTCTCCCCTAGGCATGGGATTTGCTGGTCTCCTCCTCGCCGGGTCCATCACAGTCCCCGCTGTCGTCCTCATCGCTAACGACATCGGAGGGACATCCACTTACCAAGATAGAATCAAGTGAGCACCTCCTCTATGATCTAAGTATAAATTAGACTTGGTATTGCTACTATGACTTCGATGATTTCCTGCATTCATCATATGATATTAGTCAGTGTTGGGCGCGTTACTTTTGAAAAGTAACTAGTTACAATTACAAGTATGTCATCCAAAAAGTAATTAGTTACCAGTAGAATTACTTCTCACCAAAAGTAACTAGTTACAAGTAGAAGTTACTTT